AAGTGGTCTGGTGTATTTATCTAATTATTGAGACAGCACATTTACAACTGAGGGGATTTTGATATAAGAGGTTTATAAAACTCTGATTTAGGCTGATCTTCAGTCTCCCTCCCTTGGGGGCTCACTTATTTTCCCATAGCACTTACAAGCAAGTTAGCTGGGCAGTGTGCATCCTAGTCTAATCAAATGCTGACTTAGATGCACACAAGCAGTTCAACTTTAACCCCTAATAGTATCAGCTGCATAGGGCTGCAGGCTTCATTTCCTTTCTTGCAATGGCTTCTGTGGCTCCCCACAACGATGCAAGGTGTCTGGGAGCAGATCCCGTTCGAGGGGTACGGGAACCCTTTTCCAGTGACATCACACTAGCAAAAGAATAGATATAAATATTTCAGGGTAAGATTAGCCAAATCTGAAAGTAATTTAAACGCCCTGTCTCTTGGTGTGGAACTGCGAGAGCCCAATTAGCTGGAAGAAACTGTAGTTATTTTAAACCAGGATGCGTGTCGCTGTCAAATTGGCATTCAGCTAGCAAAGTTTTTGGTTAAATGGATAGTTGGCTTCCAGTGTAATTTTCCTTCTCATTAAAGTGATTGTTGATCCTCATGGAAAACCTTGAGTTTAAATGAACATTAAGCTTCTGGATTTACCTGACTGAGTTGGAGTTAAACCTGACTCTAATGCACCGCGGTGAGCAAATCTTTCGATGAGGGGAAATTACCCCATTGCTTTGGGCCAGCCAGAGGCCCTTCTGCCCTTTAGCTCCTGTTTTATTTACAGCAGACGGCTGGTCCTACGGTATCACTGGATTATCTACCACCAGCAGCTCAAATTAACAATCGTATGTCAAATCTATGTCTGAATTTCCCATCAGCCACATTATTTTATAAGATGTCTTTTTAAAAATATTTGGCTCTTGTTTTTTAAACTGACTGTTCAGGATTGGCCTGGGGAATTATCCACACTATGTTGATTATTATTATCCCGTAGGTGGAATTAGAGTTGCCCTGTGCCATCTACTATTTGTTCTATATCAGTTATTAACAATAGCTTTTCTTAATTAACTTGAAGGGTCTTGACCTTCTTATTTTATTCTGTAAAGCCATATGCCTAATTGGGCACTGCAAGTTAAACAAACTGATTATATAGACTAATGAACTGAAAAAAAAAATCAGCATGACTCTATTTTCTGGATTATCATTTTCCAGTATGCTCCATTCAAGGATTAACTTTCAATTTTGTTCCAGCGCCTATTATTCACTAATGAAGCGATAAGGTAGAAAATGTATTCTCTAGTCTTTAAATATAGCTTTTAGACTGATGTGCAATATTAACAATTTTATTTTGTAACAGGAATCAGCATGCAGAGTCTTTTTTTTTATAAAGCTCTTTTAAAGAGGAGCAGATTCTTTACAGGTAACTTAAAGAACCCGGGAATGTTCAAACCGTCACCATGTTAAACATTTAACACCTGTTGTTTCAGGAAATACCTTTGAGCTCATGCAGTAGGGATGTAACGGGTAGTTAGCTAGCCAGCTTACTTACGGAGATGTATAGCACTATTCATAATTTTAAATACAGCAAAAAGTGATTTTAATTTAAAAATGCTTGCAAGATCATTCTAACTTCGATTCCTTCTGAGAACTGCAGGGAATGCCACTTTTGCACTTGTACACTTGACCTTTCAGTTGTTTTAATCTCTTGTTTCTAACCCCAGTTCCTCACACCAGTATGCTAACAGTCAATGGGAGGGCTGTTATTGCACCTATTCAACCCAAGGTCTGTTGTTTCTCCTAGAGCTTGGATGGATATCGTTGCCCAAATGGTTAGGAGATTTGCCTTGGCTATCTACGTGAGCATGATCTCTTCGTGATTATTGCTATATGAGCAATAGTAACACCAGACCTGAGATTTTGAAGCTCACTTCATCCCTTGAATGCAAAGGGGCAGGTCTGAAGAGCTCACTAGTGACTCAGACCCAGCCACCATCCATCCATTGGAAATATTGGCAGCCTGGCTTTGTATCATGGTTTTTCCTCTCTGTTTCAGGATTCGGCCTTGCTCTCAACCTCCAGCCCTCAGTGATAATCATTGGGAAATACTTTCTAAAGAGAAGACCAATTGCCAACGGCCTTGCCATGGCAGGAAGCCCTGTCATGCTTTGTACCCTCGCCCCTTTGAACCAGTTCCTTTTTGACAATTTTGGGTGGAGGGGCAGCTTTTTAATCCTTGGGGCGATTTTACTGAACTGCTGCGTGGCAGGGGCTCTCTTCAGGCCCATTGGCCCAGCAACTGGCCCCATTCAAAAAGAAGCCAACAAGGAAGTAAAGGAGACTGCCAAAGCTGTTGGCTTTTTGGCTGCAACAGAAGAGGAGGAAGACAAAGAGCGCTGTGCAAAATTTAACCAATACCTGGATTGTTCCCTCTTCAAGCACAGAGGGTTCCTGATATACCTGGTTGGAAACGTCCTCATGTTTCTGGGGTTTTTTGCCCCGATTGTGTTTTTGGCACCATATGCCAAGCACATTGGCATTGATGAATACTCAGCAGCCTTCCTCCTCTCTATTCTTGCTATAGTCGATATGATTGCCAGGCCCGCAACTGGCCTCATTGCAAACAGTAAATGGGTGAGACCAAAGATCCAGTATTTTTTCAGCTTTTCCATTGCTTTTAATGGTGCCTGCCACCTTTTGTGCCCCTTAGCGTCGGACTATGCAGGGCTTGTCATATACTCAATCTTTTTTGGCTTGGCATTTGGTATGGTTTGTGCCATGCTCTTTGAAACGCTCATGGACCTTGTTGGAGCCGTGCGGTTCACAAGCGCCGTTGGACTTGTAACTATTGCCGAGTGTTGCACTATACTACTAGGACCACCAATTGGAGGTAAGCGAGATGCCGTCCCTTGCTCTAGCTCGTAGGCTTGTATTGTGATAGATTAGAGTTTGCAGAGGGGCTTTTCTCTACCTTAGCCCTATGTTTTTGTTCTACTTGTGACTGGGTATAGACTACAGGTCCTACATTTGGGCAACACGTTTTCTCCTTTCTTACTGTGGGCATTATTCCACCTGAAGCCAACAGGTTTGCATGTACCCTGGAAGCATAAGGCAACCTGGGTCTTTTCAAACACTTCCTATACAGTGGGACCTAGCTGCTGAATGCTTAATGCCACAATTCAGCAGAGCATATAAGTACACGCTTAATTTTAAACATGCTGCTAATCCGAGGAAATCCCTTTGCTGAACTGAGTGCCAGGGTCTTAACTGATGCTTCTTCTTTGTCTTGAAAATGAGCATAGATCCAGTAAGCCGCCATTCTGAATGCTTTCATTTCCTATGCAGCCAAACTTAAAATGCCAAGAAAGTAACTCGGCGCGATTCTGTTTATGGATTTCCATCCTCCTTGCTTGCCCTGTAGAGCCTGTAAAGTCCGTGCTGAAAATAAGACTTTGATGCAGAGTGTTTCAAATAGGCTTGATATGTTAGTCCTGTTCTTTACTAGTATGTTTTAGAGCAAAAAAATCCCAAACTAACAGAACGGGACACATCTCTGACAGCGAATTGGAGGCTTGTGTTATTCTTTTCTTTGGCAAATGCTTGTACAGGAAAAATGCACTGTTGGTCTGGTATTATCTCTAAGCAGCAGGCAGTTCAGAACAGGATCCTCCCTCACTGTAAATGTCCTAGCTTGCTACAGTTACCGTGCAGAAAACAAGATGGTTTTCCTGTTTGGCATCCAGAGACCTACTGAAGGCATCTGAATGCCAGACAGATAGAGAGAAGAATGCCCCCCATGGACCAGCGGCTCCCCAGATACCGCTTGTCTTCTCTAAACAAAAATACAACAACTGGTAATACTGTCTTGAAGTGGATGATACCTGAAATGAACCAGTGGGGAGTCTATGCAGCATTTCTGTGAATGGAAAAGAGCTTTTGGGAAGGGGCTGGATGTGTCCTACCGCCTTTGGAGCCAGCATCAGACTGCTCTCTGCTATGAGAGAGACTCTGCTAATAGAGGGATAACTCAAAAGAAATCAAAAGGAGCCTTAGCCTGCCTGTGACTTACCTGTCAAGGACCCTTTGTCATAGCTGGCTAAAAGCAGGCCAGCTGTGCTAGCAAAACCTTGCACCGGTATGAAAAGATTAGACTTCTCTAATTGACATGACTGTGGAGGCAAGCTCTCCCTTCCCCACCTGAACAGATGGGCCGGACAGAAGAGAGTGACTGCCAGTTTGACGGGTCTTTTGGGGAGGTGGCACACAAAGACGACCCTGCCTCACGTCTCCACTAAATGTCACTGCGGCCCTAGCTTTGCAGAGCAGACTCGTGATGGGGAAGTAGCTCTGTAATATAAATGAGGTCCCCATGAGTCCATAGGTGACATCCAGGGGTGCTTGTACATGTCATGGGGGTTTAATCCCCAAGGTTTTATCCTATGCCCCCTAAATTGAAATGATGGGGCACAGAATAAAACGCTGAGGATTAAATCATTTCAATTTACCTGGCATGTTATGGCAAGAGGCCCAAACCCTTTTTTTGGTTGTTGTTGGAGCTGGAGCCTGCCTGGCCGAGCCTGGCCAGGCTTCCAGTACCCTGTGCACCATCCCTGCCACCTTCTCCAGGCTCCAGCACACTCAGCCACCCTCCTGCTGCCCTCCTGCACTGTCCCAGTGCAGCCCAGTCCATCCTGGTGGTCCCAGGTGGCAGGAGGGCAACAGAGACAGTGCATGGGGTGCTGGAAGAGTTGAATTGGGCTCAGTGCTGTCTCTGAGCTGGGGCAGCACCTGGCCTGGGCATCCCCAGGGTATGCCGCCACAGCAGAGGGAAGGACCGGGGGTCCCCACAGCTCATGGGCTGCTCAGCCCACCAGCAGCTTGCCCCCTACCCATGGGAGAGGCAGGAGGACTTCGCCAAAAAGCATAAAAAAAAGGAATCGGACCCCTCACCACTTCTGCAGAGCCTGCCTCCCTCTTCCACGGCTGAGCGGGCGAGCTGACACCTGCATCGTTGCAATTTGCCAAGTTGCAAACTCATTTAAAACCCCCCAAAGTCTTGCATGTGTACACTGTGACACCATTAAGCCACACTAACTTGTATATGTGAGGAAAATGTCACTTTATGGCCTCTCGTGTACAAGCATCCAAACTGGCTGGCACATCCATTCTGAGGGGATAGAAGAGGGCAAGGAGACTGGGGAGAAGAGTCGGCAACATCACCTGTGTGCGCGGCAGAGTAGTGGTCTGCTGCAAGTGCTCTTAACCTTCTGTGCAGCCTACTACAGCATCAGCATTTAACCCGGCTGGCTGTTTGGTAGGTGTCTGGATACCTAGCAGGAAAACCATGCTGGTTCTGTGGAATATAGCAGTGCTTCATTAGAAGTCAAATGAACCCACAGGAGAAAGCTGTGGGATAGATCTGTTTTTAAATATCATGGGCTAAAAAACAAAAGAACTGGCTAAACTTCCAATATTCAATTTCACACGTTTTACAGAACAATGTAATTCTTCCTTTTACCACCTAGCTCATGGCAAACATAGCTGCATCTTCTTGGTTTTTTTGCAAAGATTCATTATCAAATTTATTGCAAACAGAAGAAAACACAGTTCTAAGGTGACTCTTCTCTATACTATATAATTTTTTTAATTCAGGAGATTAAAGTAATGACGAAAGACTGCTAATGAGGCCAGGACTCCAAGATGAACATGGGCCGACAATGCGAGGTCATGGTTGGCAAGGCTAACCGGACCTTGTCGTGCATCCACAGGTGCATCTCGAGTAGAGCCAAAGAGGTGATCCTCCCCCTCTATGCGACACTGGTCAGGCCACAGCTGGAGTATTGTGTCCAGTTCTGTGCGCCCCAGTTCAAGAGGGATGTGGACAATATGGAGAGGGTCCAGAGGAGGGCCACCCGCATGATCCAGGGACAACAGGGCAGACTCTACAGTGAGAGACTGCGGGACCTGAACCTATTCAGCCTCCACAAGAGAAGGCTAAGGGGGGACCTGGTGACTGTCTATAGACTCACTAGGGGGGACCAGAGGGGTTTGGGGGAGACGCTGTTTCCCCTAGCGCCCGCTGGCATAACAAGGAGAAATGGGCACAAGCTGTTGGAGAGGAGGTATAGATTGAACATCCGCAAAAACTACTTCACCGTTAGGGCGGCTAGGAGCTGGAACCAACTTCCAAGGGAAGTGGTGCTGGCCCCTACCCTGGGGGTCTTTAAGAAGAGGCTGGATGCCCACCTAGCTGGACTCGTTTGAGTCCCATTTCTCTTTTTGGGGTTTTTGTTGTTCTCCCGCCCTGGCGGGGGGTCGGGCTAGAAGATCTACTAGGTCCCTTCCGACCCTTAATCTATGAATCTATGAATCTATGAATCTAGGACAATGCAGTACAATAGTCAGTATTATTAGTTTTGTTGTTTTTTTTCCCTTACCATTTTAATAACCAGTGAATTTATTGGTTCTTTGGCATTTTAATAACCCACGGTAGGGTTCTGTGTTAATGAACTAAATAAATTGTTCCCAGTGTGTTGTATGACTTTTTCTTATTCTCAAAGGAAAAGAGGCAAGACTATCCTACTGTTGAATTTTCCAATATCCTACTCATTAAAACCCTCAATGAATGCTATTTAGCAGACCTCTAGGTCATCCTGATTAGCAAGAAGGAAAAATTGCTGTAATTAGCCTTTGCTTGATGTTTCATGAGTAACGTCCATAAAACAATGTATTGAAAACTGTGCACCAGGATGTCTATAGAAGAGGCAAGAAGATTGTTGGCCAAAACCAGTTGAGCTAATAATTTTTGCCATCAGAAAATACGTTTAGTGGCCATAAAATCCCTATTTAGAATAGGCATGCACCGGGATAATTAATCACCCAGACTTTCCAGACATTACTTGTCACTCAGGAAGGAAGTCAGAGAGCTTATATAAAGCTTGTGAATTTCATGAAGGGTTGTGTGTGTGTGTGTGTAAATTTGCACACAGGTGCACACACACACACACATATTATTTTCATCAGGATGTAGCATATTCAAATTGGTTCATATTGCTCCAGTCATTGGGCACGAGTGTCCAGCATCAGCATCCTAGCCAGGTTTGCTTTACGTTGCATTTTGCAATAATGGTGAAGGCTGGCATTTCAATTAAGCTGTCTCTCTACAGTTGTTCTACCACCCCATAGCCAAGGCATTAACCGTTGAGATGAAACCGGCGTGTTTTCTTGACATTGAAAATATTTCATACCAACAGCATCATCCTTGCTTTGCCTGGAACTAATGCTCTTAAATCCCATGCGGTGCCCTTTCACCGCCCAGGCTTCAGTTCCAGTGCAGACAAGGCTAGCGCTGACCCATGGTCATTGCCATCTGATGCTATTTATTGGCCTAGGAAGAAAGGAATTGGCTGGGATTAATTCCTTTCTCAATTATCAGCTGTCAAAGCTCACCATCAGACCTCACTTCTGTTGGCCAAGAACTCATGAAGCTAGGTGGAGGTTATTCACCCAGCCTTTGATCTAAAGCTTGTAGAAAGACTCTTATTGACTTCTGTGGGCTTTGAATCTGGTGCTGCAAAGTGAATGCGTGGAAATAGATGGGCCAAAGAAATTTCAAGTCTATGCTATAAAGTCTCAGTCCCTCTGAGACTTCACCCTTGGTTGAACTTTGTGTATTGGGAATAGCCATTGACTTCATCACAGCTTTGCATGCCATAAAGCTAACTGTTTGTAGTATCAGAGCTGAAAGTAGAGAGCATCCCCTGTTTTACTTTACAGTCACAATAGCAAGCCTTAATATTCCCAAGCAGAAGACACTGAAAGCATTGAGATCTTTGCTTCCAACATGCCTTTTCTTCTTGTGATTCACAGGAACACTTATAGATACCTTTGGGGATTACAAATACATGTTCATTAAATGTGGAGCCGTGATGGTCGTGGCAGGAACGTTTCTGTTCATCATGAATTACTACAATTACCGCATGCTTGCGAAAGAGGAGAAGGCAGTGGGCACGAAGGATCCTGAGCATGGAAGGACAGTAAATGAAGGGAGCAATAACTGGGACAGCGAAAAGATGCAGGACGGCCAGGAGCTGGAACCGTTGACAGATGAACAAGGACTAAAGAAGGAAGTTAATGGCCTGAGTGAAGCGTAAGCCTGTTGCAACAGGTTGAATGGGGAATTGGGGTTTGGGAGGGAGTGGGAGGGGTTCATTTCTTCAATTGACTGTTAACAGTGAAATCATTTTAGGCGTCTCAGGCCTTGCAAACCTAGCACTGCCCACTTACTCCCGCTTCGGGCATGCATTCAGTTGGCCTTTAGGTAAAACAGGCAACTTAAAGGGGTCCTGAGAACACACCCCAGGAGGGCTGTGCCATGGCCTCTGAGCCATTTAGTCTCCCTACTCGCCATCCTTGGATGTGTGAGGGGCAGGGGCTTCTTCCAAGCAGCAGTCCTGGGCTGTGCAGGGAGGCAGTCTAGCCGTAGCCTAACTCTGCCTTTGTCCTTTGCACCAGCATTTGATAAGACCCCGGATTTGTTTTTCTAGTCTTCTCCTAGACAAAGCAGAGCAAAGCTATAGCATACTGCACAGCCCTGTTCCATGCTGAGGACCCTGCCTCATTTTTTAGATGGTTTCTCTAGTAGGAATCGTACAAGCTTGTCACTTGACTTCTGCTCTTATTCACGAGTAACTTCCATTGACCTGATGCGTAATCCGGTGTCCACCAAGGTCAGTGCAAGGACCCCCACTCACCTCACTGGGCTCTGGATTAGGCATCTTCTCCTTGTTAGGGATCTTTTTTTGAGAATGACTTTTACTGAAGGCCTGATCCTGTCTCTGTTGGAGTTCCCGACTCCTGCGAAGTGCCTCCCTGCCCCCTTGACCGTACTGCCTTAGACCCAGGTGTGAGAACCTATCAGGAGGTTTTGGAGACCACGCTCAGTTTGCAGCCCTGCTTTTACTTTGCACCTTCATCGTGAGCAGGAGTAATTAGGCTTTCTGAGAGAAGATATTCTTTAGCACCTCAGAAGGGAGGAGTTTAGGCTCAATTGCATGGCACTCCTTGGGTTGCTTGTTCATTCACGTGATTTGTGAGGAAAGACGGAAAGAATTAAGGCAATTTAGTCTGGAAAAGAGAAGACTGAGGCGGCATTTGACAGCAATCTGCAAATACCTGAAGGGCGGTTATACAAAAGTTGGTTATATGGCTAGCAGTAATAGTCTCAAACTGCAGCAGGGGACATTTAGATTGGAGATTAGGAGGAGTTTTCCCACCGTGTGGCAGGAACAGGCTGCACTCAGAGGTTGTAGACTATCCATCCTTGGACATTTTTAAAAGCAGGGTAGACAGATACCTGACTGGGATGGTTCAACTAAGTCAGAGATGCATAAGCTTTTGCATGCAGCAGCTGCTGTTTAGGAAAGCATATGCATCTCTGTTTCAGTTAGTCTATAAGGTGCAACCCTACCCCAAATTCTGCCTGACTTATGCCTAACGCAGCTAACGTAACTACCTCTCTCTGAGCCAGTTTAGTCAGGGGCGATCCTGCCTTGAGCAGGGGGTTGGGCTAGATGATCTCCTGAGGTGCCTTCCAGCCCTGCTTTTCTATGATGATATGATTTTCATTTTGAAATCAGGCCTGGTTTAATGGATCTGCATGAATTAAATCCATAGTTTCTAAGCGATGACAATACGCACATGGGTATGAGTGTACATGTACAGTACCCAAAATAGCTGCTAGCTAATGTGCTCCAGACTGGGAGCCAGGCACTCATGAGCCTTTGACCTGGATGACCAACTGGTTGTTGCATGAGCAAGTCATGGGATAACCAAAGACACAGTTGGAATAAGTAAAACTAAAGGGTGGGATTTGCCCTGAACAGAGGACTTGTGCACTATGTCAGTCTTCAGTTTTTTGTGGGCTTTCTCTGTCTGTAAGTTCCAGGTCATGGGAAGGGTTCATCTATTAATACTTAAACAGAATATGGTAGACAGAAGCAGAGCGTTGAAGTACTGTCTACTCTGACGAGACCCATGTGGTGTAGGGAAGTGTTATTGCCAGTGTCCTCAGGCATTAGGTTGGGTATTTCAGAATAGGTTGGGTGATCCATAGAAGTCAGCATATTGAGTGAGGAGCCACCTAAGCTAGGCAATAAGCAATACCAGTAGGAAAGAGGTGCGTCTTCCTTGGGATGTAGACTCCTTACGTGCAATCCTCGACCTTCTCCCTGGTAGGGCTGGGCTTTCCTCACAAAATACTGTTGTTCAGCAGTTGGTCCAAGTCTTTTCTTTATTGGAGAGAGATTCAAGCTCGTATCTCAGCCAAGTTCCCTCACTGTTGGACTGTTCCTAGGTTTCACAGATTTCATAGATTTAGGGTCGGAAGGGACCTAGTAGATCTTCTAGCCCGACCCCCGGTTGAGCCGGGTTAAGAAGGTAATCTCATTCCTTCAGGTTGATGTTGTTTCACTTTGTCTGGAATAAACCATCCTTAAGCAAAGGGCTAACCCTGTAGTTTAGTGGTTTAGGTACTTGATTAGAAAAGGGGTAAGTTGATTAGAAAAGGGGTAAGTTCTGGGTTCAAGCCCCTCCTCTAGTTTGTGGTTTTATGAAGCAGTCATTACCTAGAATACTGTTTGGAGGGATACAACATGGCTATGAGGGATTTTTTCTTCTTTTAAAATCATTCCTATGTATGCTGCTGCTCTTTAAATATACTTAATACATAATAATAGGTTAGACAGGAGATTTGCATAGGATGGTTTGGATAAAGATGATCTTGCCTCAGGCAGGGGGTTGGACTAGATGACCTCTGGGGCTCACGTCCAGCTGTACTTCTCTAGGATTCAATGGTCATAACTCTCCCCACTCCACCCACTCTCTGGGTGAAATCATGGTCCTACAGCGCTAAGCCACGGAGTTGAAGAGGGCTGTGAGTTCATCTGCCTTGCCTTTGCTCTGGAGAGCACAGCCACGTAATATTGGAGCGGTTGTTTTTTTAAGACTCTTTGTTGTCATCAACTAAATATGCCACTGCTGTTTACTACCTGTGGTGTTGCTGGAAAGGCCTGAATGTTGTCTGACAGCACATGTCATTTGGAAACATTACGGTATCAAATAAAACACTTTTACAAAACTGTTGACCTTTCTTCGGTGTTTGCCTACAGGGCTGATGTTGGTCTTCTCTTCTGTTAAGCGTCCCACAAGTTCTCAATGCTGTGCCCGGTTTCAGGCCTTCATAGAGATTCCTACAAGTAGGTTCACTTTTCCATGCCACACTCACCATGAGAAACTTCTTGCCACAAGGCATTGCAGACCAAAGAGGAACTGGATTTCAGGATGGAAAACCAGGACATGTGGGTCATAGACGTAGTAATAAAAGCATAAGGAAGAGTTGGATACAAATATATTGCTCATACACCTGGAAGGGGACCACAGAAAGTCATCTAGTTCACCGCTCACCCCAGGGCAGGACAGTCCTTGTCTAACCCATCTCTTATATTGAAGGTTCCCACCCAACCCTATCAGTCAATTAACTCTAGAAGCTGGCATAATACGGCATGGAAATCACTTGTCTTAAATGCTGATTTACACCAGCTGAGGTAAGGTGTCCAATTTAGTGGGAATCCAGAACATGCTTAATAAATGTAGGATCGTATAAACACTTTATAATACTACATATAACCCTACCAACCACATACAGTAGCATTTCCAAAGCAAAAACAGAAAAGCAGCAATATATGGAATGAATGCATAAAATAATAATTAGTGCATTGCTGGTTGCAGAACAGGCTATTGCCATGTTTAACAAACAGCTCCTTGTCACTTTTTGCATCCCCAAAGGTTAAACCACCACTTTCCCATTTTCTTGCAAACTCGGTTCCTTCTTTACTACTTGAGAAGCTCCTTATTCCACACTTGTGTGGCTTCTTTCATAGGAGCGATTTTAATAGCGGCATTGACATGTTTTTGATGATTTTTAGCCCTCTGTGTAAGGCTTGGCTCCCACAGTACTGAGCACCTGGTTTCAGTCCAGCAAAGCTCTTAAGCACATGAGTAACCTTAGCAATGTCTCAGCATGTTTAAGTGCTTTGCTGAAGGGGGTCCAAAATGTTCAATACCCCAGTCCATAAACATGTTTCCAAAGACCAGCAAATATATCAAGGACGTGTTCCTAAACTCCTGTTCAGCTCTGAAGTGTGAACGATGCAATGAGATGCATCCTTCAGCACAAACTATAGAGAAGGAAGGCACCCTAATTGCAGAGCTCATTTGGTGATCTGCATGGTAAATTGGACACATTATAGTTACAGATGCACTCACTCGAAAGTACCTTTTTGACAAGTCAGTGGAAGGAATATTGGTCAACATACTCGTTCAGCAGGGGCAGGGTTTTCATTTTAAATATAGAGACAGGTTGTTTTTTTCCACTGCATTTCAGTTGAGTTCTGTTGCTAGACAGCTATTTCACATTAAATTAGCTTGGATCTTAAGGAATTGTGCTTGGCTCCTGTGCTCAGGGATTGCTTGGGGCTTTAAAAGAAGCCTTAGTCTGTTTTGTGGCTCTTGCTTCGTTCTTTCTCCTGGATTTTTGCTTCAAGGGACTTGTTGGCTGAACAACAGACTGAGAAAAGAAACAGCTACCAGAGAAGGGCTGTGAAATATTCCTTCTGCTCCTTTGCTGTTGCGGTGGGCCTTTGTTTCCATTTGCAAAGCAATGCAACCTGAAGCGACTGGAATCGCCTGGGCAGGGAAATCAAGATAGCTTGAAGAAAGGCTGAAAGAACTAGTGCTGTTTAGTACGAAGACAAGAAGACCATGGGAGGATTTGGTAACAGCCTTCAAATACCTGAAGGATGATTACAAAGAATGGAAGCGGGCTGTTCTCTGTGACTGGGGGTGCGGAGGGAGGGGACAGGACTAGGAGTAGTGGCCTCAAACTTCAGCAGATGGAGATTAAGAGGAACTACCTAAATAAGAGGGTGGTCAAGCACTGGAATAAGCTGCCTAGAGAAATTGTGGACTCTCTGTCCTGGAAGTTTTTGAGAGCAGATTAGATAGACACTTGACTGGGATGTTTTAGTCGGGGACGATCCTGCCCCTGAGCAGTGGCTGGACTAGATGCCCTTGTAGGGCTCCTTCCAGTCCTACTTTCCTATGATCATGCTGCTCTGGTCAGCTTTTGAGAAACAGATGCCCCTGGACAGGACGAAGTGACAAGCACCCCTGTACATTTGCACAGGGCCTGAATGCGACTACTCTGTTCCCGCAAAGCTGCCTGACAAAATGTGCGAAGGTGTGTATCACAGCAGCCGTGTATCAAGCAATGCCCACCCATTTCAGGTTTCGCCTGAGCAATCATTGTTTCTTATAAAAATCCCACATAAAGAATGTGGTTGTTCAGTTTTAATGCCTGGACACACCTGTTTATATCTGCGCAAATGAGGAGCAAAATTACAGTCCTGTCCTTGTGCAATTTTCCAGAACCTGGTGTAGTTATCCTGGGTGGGAGGAAAGGAAGAGTAAAATTATACTGGTATACTGGTATATGTTATACGAGGTATAGGCGGTG